AAAGCAAATAAATTTCACTTTTTATTAGCAGACATAGGTGTCTAATAAAAACTGTCTGTCTTTGCATGGATATGCTTTAGTCGGATTTTAATGAAGAATAATTTCAGTGAGTCAGCAAAAAAACAGTTCTAGCTTTATTATTAATTCCTATGTAGAAAGTAGCTGTATGAATCTGTGAAGTTAATCCTTTTCACACTCCAATCATATGAATTGCATACTGTTGGGTAAATATAGAATATTTTGTACAATTAAATGAAATAGGTGCCATGATAATGAAAATAATCTTTAACTTTTGTTTCTTTTTCCCTAACTCCTCACCCCACCCTCCTCATCAGATGTCTATGATGCTTTTTCTGGAAAAAACACCTTTGTCTTTCTGTCAAAAGTGAATGTATATACGGTAAGTTGTTTTACTCTGACTTTAACAAAAATAGTCCTGCCATGGAACTGGAGAGTCAGGTAGGTACAATGACCATCTTGTTTAGTAATATCACAGCAGTTACAGTATTTAACTTATATTTTTCTTGTAACACATTGCAATACATTCTGTCATCGTAAAGAAGTAGAACAGCCAGATCACAGGACAGGCGGCGTTCATAGATTCCTTTGCAATGTCAGATTAAAGGTAGATCTTGCACATTTCACTGTGTAGTCAACTGTATATGTATTAGTCTTCCATGTGTTCGTAGTATTTTTGGAACTGATGAAAAGAAAATATGTTGATGGATTTATCCTTTTACAAATGCTTCTGTATCACCTATAAAAAAATCCAATCCTAGTGCAATGTGTGTGTTACAAAACATGCTTTGTTCGTGATATGAAAAACTTACTTTATTTTTATCAGATGAACCCAATGAATTATGAAATAATTCTGGGAATCAACAATCAACACCACCACGGGACTTTAGTGGTAAATGTTTTTTAAACAGTCTTTAGCATACTTATCTCATACACTAAAACCATAAAATATGTCGAATGCACTTTCTTGGTGATCTATCAAAAAGAAAAAAGGTCTTTGTTCTTTTAATCAAAACAAGAAATGCTTGCAAATCACAAGGTAGGGTTAAAAATGAAATCTTAATCGAGGTATGAAAGTCATAAAATTGTTCTTATTAATATATTTTTATTTTCAGGGCATTTAACCTACAGCGGAAATGCGTCAACAAATGCCTTTCTATCTGCTGAATCCATAAAACGACAGAAAACAAAAGCAAGCAGAAACAGTGGATGCACTGTAGCAAAGCTCCACTAGAGGGCAGCACAGGATAAGAAATTGTCCAGGAGACAGACAGGATCTCTGAGTAGCCTAGCTCTACACTCAGCTAGAGGAGTCTCATCGTTTTAATCTCTAAACTGTTGCCTTGACCAATATTTTCTACCTGCTCGTCAAATTATTACTACAGCAACAGTTGAAACAATAAATGATTTGTGAATTAAAGAGTTTAACCAATACAACTGATAACCCAGTAAAATGTGCCAAAACCAAACTTACCCAGAAAGCCTTTAGAGGGGTGCCCCAGATCTACCAAACACAAGGGATGGGCAGTATTTGTTTTTTATTTGCACAGGTGGAGAATAAACAGTAAGTCCAACAAACGAGGAAATTATTAACTGTGTCAAAAAATAGGTTGCAAAATCAGAACTTAACAATCTCATAAGAACTTCACACCATATCTCTCAGTCTCACTCACTCACCAAAACTACAGAACAGAGCAGCCAAGATCTCCAGACAAAGGCTGTGCAGTCAAAAAATCTAAATAAACCAATTGATACACACAGTCCAGTAGAGATGAAAACAAAAAAAACGTTAGCACTGTAAATTTACAGTCATATATTTAAATCACTGTTCATATATATATATATATATATATATATATATATACATATACATATTTTACTACTTTTCAAGGCTGCAAAAAAAAGATTACATTCACAGATTAAAAAAAAGATTACATTTTCCAGAGAGCTGTTCCAAACATTTTTTTTCTGCTTTACACTTGTGTAAACAAAATGACAAATAAAATCTGTCAAAGTCTAAGATCACTTTAAAGCAGGAAGAAGGAGAAGATGGAGCCCCATCGGTTGTGATAGATGTCATTATCTCATTATCTCTTCAGATTCCTCTTGGCGCTTTAGAGTCCCTGGTAACACCCTAGCAACCGTGGCAAACCATGCCCAGCAATCAGCATGCATAAAAAAGGTTCCCTGCATATTTTTTATTTTTCATTTTATTGTTATGAAAATAGATGTTGGCCTCTCATGATCAATGATTTTTAAAACTTTTTTTTTCATAGCAATAAATAGGTCTACATTGTAAAACTTCCCGCGATCGACTGAAACTCCGCCCACGACCGACTGTTGGGCACCCCTGATTTAGAGAGTTCAGATTTTTAACATCATATAAAGAGATAATAACCACGTCTAGTTTTCTGTCTAATTTAAAACCATATGGTGATTACTCCTGTGGATATTAGGTCAGCATCTTAAGTTAAAATCCCAGTAAAGACCTTTATCTTTTGTTTGTGTATTTTGCTTGTTCATGTGTGGGAAATAGGTCCTCTTTACTTCAAAACCATCCACATAAGAGTAACTCATCATCGATATAAAATAATTTCAGTTCAACTGAAGAAAAATAAACAAATTATACATGAACAGCAGAATATATTCATTTTTAGATCAAAAAGTGGAATTAAATCCTGCTTAAAGCAAGTACACATATAAAAAAAGGTAAATAGAATATTGTTGATTAAATCTAAATAAACTAAAATACTATTCCACATACAGTTATAAGCTTCAGAAAATTACAGACCTCTCTCATGTTTTAAGTATGAGAACTTGTACAATTAGTGGCTGACTAAATACTTTTTACCCCAATGTATTTAAAGAATGACATTCAAATATTGAATTCTAAACATAGAGAACAAAATATGCAATGTATTCCATATTAAAGAGGAACTGAGGGGAATGACAGTCAGTTGCACCTCGGTCAGATGTCAGTCTTTCAAGAGGATCTTCACTGCTTTCTGAAGGCGTCCTCATTCAATGGGCTCACTCTCCAGAAAAGTGGATAATTCAGCAGAATTTTCTGTCCTTGAAAGCAGCTCAGTTCTGTGGAAATTTGATTCTTTGAAATCAAGGCTCGCTTCTGCTTATATTGTGTATTTATTTCAGATCCAGGGTTATTTTTAAATCAACAGTTCAAATTTTATCTCGATTCTTGCTTTTCTTCCTCTGTACCTGTAGAATGTGACGGTTGGTAAATGTTAGATGAGTTGTTTTAAAAACTGCAAAGAATATTAAAAAGTCCAGTAAAGAGTTAACCAGAGCACATTTACTCTGCAGGGAATAATGTTTGTCTCTGCTTTAATTAAAGATCAATGTTTGGTAGAAACAGTTTCATAAAGTGATTCCCACTAGTTATCGTGGCTCTATTTACATTCAGCTCTGCAGCCAGTTTTCCAACAATCACTCCAATCAGATTCAGCTTCTTGAAAAGAGTTGGAGTTTTTTAGCCTCCATCATCTTCCTGCTTTCAGAGACGTTTTACTGCAGTTACAGTTATGGCTCCATAAAACCACACAGGTGTTCACTGTGCAGGAAGTTAGATGTCTGTGCATCTATGAACAAGTCTGCTGTGAGAAAGTCTTGATAACAGACGGTTCAACAGTCCAACAACGTTCTGATGCTGCATCCAGCTGTAAGGTCTGAGCTCCTCTCTCACCTGGTGACTTTACTGATCCTCCATTTCCTTCCACATCCCCGGCCGCCAGTGGTAAATCCTCTGGATGAAGTGTGGGGCCCTTTTCGGTAAAATAATTAAAGAAAAATCTTGTCATCAGAAAACAAATTTAACAGGGCAGAAAAATATAAAAGCTGTGAAATAAACATACCTTTGTGAGAACTGTAGAACGTCCTTTTTTTGTTTTTTCATTCATGCCAAGTGGAAAAGCAGAAGGCAAGTCAGAAACGTTTTCTAATACTGACAGGACAGTTTATTTAATTCTGTAAAAAAAAGAGCGCTCACCAAATATAAACATTTTTTTCTTCCAGAGAACAAAAACAGCCACAGCTATTCCCACACACACAACTAGTACAACAGAAATCCCAACAGCAGCAGCCACATATATATTTTTTTCTCCACACTCTGCATCAGTTGAAGTTGTTCCTTCTTTAACCAGCTGAAGATTTAGTTCCTTGCATCTGGAATCACACAGAGATCCATTTACAGAAATTCATCTGATCAATCAAGTTCACTCCTGGTGAATAATCTAGATGTGTCTATAGATCTATAGATTCTCTTACTGTGTGTGTGGCTGACAGAGTGTTAATGATCCATTAGAAAATGTTCCTCTGCTGCATTCAGAGCATTCAGTGTCTGACAGCGACGTTCCTGTGAGAATGAAGAATGATTTCAATCCACATTAACACTGATTATATGTAGAAGAGATATGAATAAATAATATATCAGGATTTAGAATAAAAATTTAAATATAAAACCGGGGTTGTTTTAAAAATGTTACCTTTCTTGCTAATATATTGTCCAGGTTTACAGCTGCTGTGCTTTTTTGCAGCAGCACAGCTGCCTTCAATAACATCAGTACAGAAATATCCTTCCAGAGCTTCACAAACTGTATCAGATGATCGTGAACATTTGATTTTTAGCCTCAGACCAGAACCTGCCAACATAGGACAAAGTTATAATGAGAGAAAACACTGATTCTGAGTTTAGCTTTTTTATTAGCATTTCCCTGACACTTAATAGACCCATCTCACCACTGTGCTTTTCTCTTGATATTTTTTATTCTTGACCTAATGACTTTAACATAAGATAAATAGGTATTTCATTGGTTTTCAAGAAAAGTGAACAAGAACCAGAAAAGGGAACGGAAGTAGTCAAATAATTCTCTGGGCTACCAGCAGGGGGAAGCATCTTGAGGACAGTGTAGTCAAACTACACTTTCCACAAAGCATCAGAATCTGAATGAGCCAAAAAAAACAACTAGATTTAGCTGACTGAGCAGTGGAATAAAAAACAATGTCTGGGGAAGCATGTTTATCTTTTTCACATTGATTTGTAGTAAGAGGGACAAAAATGGCAAAACAAAAAATTAATCTGAAAAAAAAAAAAAAAATTGAAAAAGGCTATTTTTATATTTTTGTTGTATTTATATTTTTATTATGTGTTTTCCTCTTCATTGTGTATGTACACATTTATTTATTTTTTATTTATTCATTCATTCATTTCTTTCATCTTTATTTATAAATTCCCACATTTATTTCTATATTTTTACATTTTCACACTTATATCTACATTTCAGTCTTAATGGTTAATGGTTGGTTGTTCTAACTTTTGCCTTCAGCACGACTGGTTCCAGCTTTCAGTGTTGTTGTGCCCTTGGGCAAGACACTTCACCTGCATTGCTACTGATCAGAGGACCTGGTGGCATCAGTTTACGGCAGCCTCACTTCTGTCAGCGAGCCCCAGGGCAGCTGTGGCTACAATGTAGTTTGCTACCATGTGTGAGTAAATGAGTGAATGTAGTGTAAAGCACTTTGGTCAAGTCCTCTGACTTGAAAAATTGTTATATAAGCACAGGCCATTCACCATTTCCAAGGTTACCGGAGTGGGAGTCTGTATTAATTAGCACAAAATACAAGCTATATAATTTATTAAACAGAGGCCGATATGAGACCTTATATGCAGCCTGTTGGTTCATTTTTCTAAAATCTCTGTCCTCCTCGGCTCAGCTCAGCATCTCTGTAGAACAGCAGAGCAGGAGAAGGTTCAGTTCCAGGTTTTCTCTGAGGTCATGATGTGATGGTCTGTTAGGATTTATTCAGACATCCTTCTGCTCTGCATCCATGTATGAATCGTTTGCTTCTGTCTGACCCTCCCAGTTAACCAATAATGCTAAAGACAAATATTAGAACCACAGAGACAGAAATGTGGAAATAAAAATAAATAGAAGTAGAAATAAATTAACTAATAAATAGTTGTTTAAAAATGAAAAATACACAATAATACAAAAACAAGAATTAGCCTTTTCATGACCACATCTTAATTATGTATTTATCTTTATATTTAGTTTAAAAAAAAATAGTACGGTATTTATTGATTTATTTATGTATATTTCAACTAAATTCTATATTATTTATATATTAATTTATACAATTATATGTGTATTTATTCATTTATAGTGATATCAAGATCTTTTGAAGAAAAAAAAAAACTTCAGTGATGATGAGGAATAAAATTAGTCGTTTCACCTTCATCACATATTGTGCATGGGTTGCAATGCTTTTTTCCAGTAGGAGTCTCCATATATGTTCCATCAGCACAGGGTAGACAGGATGGTTCTCTGAACTCAGTGCAGTCTGTTTTCACTTTATTGCCTGTTAGAAAAGGAAAAGAACAATCGCAATTCTGGAACTTCATCTTTAATTTAAAAGACATTTAAATGAGGCAAAAAAAAACAAAGCTCATCCCAATAAAGATTCTGCAAGAAAATCTGTATTTGGTAACAAGTATTTGAAACAAAAAAAGTAAAAAAGATAAATTTTATTGGCTAGGTATAAAAAAAAAAAAAAACTAAGTGACGAAATATTTTACTCAACATAAGTGATAAGTCACATAGCGACACTAAACTAATCTATAGATTAGTCAAATGTAACAGATGTGAAAAATTAATCAAGGTAAAAAAAAAAAACTGTTTCTAAGAATGCAAATAAATTCACGAGTCAAATAATTTCCAACAATAAATATCTATTCAATATAGATATATAGATATATAGAATATGTCAATATAGTTATATATAGTTTCTGCTTCAACCATTTTCCTGATTAACCTAAAATATCAGCTCTAATTTTTTTGGACTGAAACAGAAACAACTAGAGAAGTGCAGACCTTCATCAAGCAGTAAATTTTGACCCTAATTGTGAATTACACCGATAGCTAAAACTCACACATGATCTGGATCATTATCAAGTTTAATGGATGGTTCCTCTAGGGAAACATTTAAATAAAATCTATTCATAACTTCCTTTACACAGCCTGACACACAAACTCTTCTAAAAACACAACTTTCTTGGTGGAAGTAATAATACAACCAACGTTTAAAAATCTGTATGACACACACTAATACTGTTGAGCTGGACTTTCA